TTACATTTCCACCTGCAACTTTTAGGGGAAGGAGGTTACCAAGAATAATTACAGTTTCTTTTTATTGCTTGTGCCTTTTTTAGAATAAGTTTGTCATTTGATAGGAAATCCAGCCACAGTCATCATAATACAATGATTGATCAGTCCCCTTGGAGCGGGATGGGCAATTCAGCAACCAGCTCCCAGCTGAGTCAGAAGCAGTCTGGGCTCAAGTTCTACCCCATTCTCTCTCAAAAAGTTGAATAAACGCAGGAAATTAACATTAAAATTTGACAAGCCTGTCACCTGTCTCCTCCATTATGTGTCACAAGGGATTTGAGGGACTAAAATCCTCCACAAGGAGGACAATTACAAGAATACTTTGAGAACGCTCTGCAGACGAGCTCACGTACTTGGGTGAGGACTCATCCTGTAAACACGCATCGGCTGTCTCGAAATGGCTTTATTTTTATCCTGCTGTCTGTCAGGTAGCACATGCACACTTTGTTTGCTAATGCACTCTCCATGTTTCCTGCTTCTCCTATCACCTGCAGGCAGGCAAACTGCTTGGGGAGAAAGTGTTTTGCTTCTTCACTTGCACAGACCGAGCCAGTTATTGTGGGAACACCATTCACACCACTCCACTCAGCTACTCATGGAAAGTGACTTGGTTTTCCTGTACCTGAGGGTGTTCTTCCAGCCTGAACCTATCCATGCAGGACCTGCAGAGTTTACTCAACCTGGTGCTTTCAATTCTCCAAGCTAGGGTGGAAAATCATGAAGATTCCGAATGTTCAAGGAGAGAGAAGAAGAAATGGGATGCACACACGATCTGCACCTTAGGCCCCTCCTTTGGCTCTGCTCTCAAGGCATTTGAGCTGCAAATCCCTCTTTACCACTGAAGTGTTTAGCATGTGCTTCTCAGCTGCTTTTCACAAAGATTTGGAGGAGCTCTTGATATGCAGGAGGGCAGGACCACCATCCAGAAGGAGCTCAGCTCGCTGGAGAAATGGATCTAACTGCACCTGCCAGCACTGGTTCCTGTATCAAACATCTCTCCTTACACCCCATTCACCACTGCATCCACTGGCACCTTTATTTATAACAAGTTTTCCCACACCAACCTCACCCACCCTGAACTTGCCACAAAAAAAAATTGATTCTGTTCTATAAATAGGAAAACAGGCCATGAGGGGAAATGATTTGCCCAGATCAGATATCAAAACCAGAACAATTCATCCACCCCAGCTCAGCTTCCCAATTTAACCATAACATGTATTACCTTCCACTTCTTCAGGCAATTTTCCCAGGTGTGTAAAGCAGCATAAAAGTACTGGTATTCAACAGAAGGAGAAGCTTTGAAACAGAACTAGAGCAAGCCTGTCCTAGCAGGATAATGATGGTCTGATGTTCATTTCTGCACTTTCAAAGGGAACTGTGAATGTTATTCCAGCTTTATTCCTCAATCCACTTTTTTAAGCTACAAGGAGACCCCCCCAGGAATCAGTTTTATCCCCGAGATTTCAATTAGAATATTGCCAAACCTTCTTTTCGGTAAGTTCTGACAAAACAAGTGGAAGAGAATAACTTTGCAGCAGGCTACATCCAAGGCAGTGCCAATAGCCCACCTAACCCTTACTCAGGGATGCTCAGGAAAAAAATTAAAAGCACACTAAGCTACAAAGCCAGCTTTCCTTCATTCCTCACCCTAGCCATTACTCCAAGCAGTTCAAAAAAGTACAGAAGGAGATACAAGAGATAATCAGTGCAGTGATGTCAGCAGCACCTGAATAACCTATTGTGGGAGACCTCTCCTACTGATCTTTTAATGGGCTCTTCAAACAGACCTCACACTCCAGGAACAGGAGCTCAGGCTAAGAGGGTCCCAGTCAGAAAGCAATTCCATTAGCTGGACGTGAGATCACTTGTGTTTTTCCAAGAACATGGAGCTGCTTCTCAGGTCAGCATGCACTGTGGCTTTTATTCCTCCTTCAATACAGCTTTGTCCTCTCTGACCAGGTTTTGAGGGCAGGCCTTTCAAAAAAGCAGGACTCAGCACTGGGACTCTGCAAACCCAGGGCACTGCTGCTGCCTGACCTGGTGCAGTTTGAAGACACCTTCCTCCTTCCCCCCCTGGAACTTGTCTGAGCTGCTCAGCTCAAGCTGTCAGCTCTGGGCACTGCAGTTCACAGGATTGTTTCAACGTTTCCTCTGCCATTTCACATCCTCGAACTTCAGACGACAAAAGCAGTTGCTCCCATGAAAGCTCTGCTTCTGCATCTGTCCAAGACAGACACTTTCAGCAATGCCCTCAAGTATTCTGCCCACTCCTGCTCCAAAGAAACCAGGACTTGTGGCTCCTCTCCTTACCATTAGTCTGACAAACTCACCAACAGCCTCAATCCCACTTCTTCCAGCAACACACAAAAAAAGAGCAATTTTCTGTGAACACCAGAAATTAGGAAGCATTTGAGAGCCCAGGAAACAGCTTTTAGGAATGCTGGCAATGCTGTGGGAAACACACCAGACACATCTCTAAATCTCTGGCTTGCTTTGTTTTCTCCTAGAATTTATTCACCAAAACCAGCAGCCTTTTTACTGCATCTCCTGCCAATACCTGGCTACGCCTGCAATTTAGGGGCACAGGCTTAATTACACTGGTAAATGAAAGCATCCATTCTCCCTGGCTCTGGAGGAACAGAAAGCATCCCAGCAGCAGACACAGGCTGACACATATTTGCTTTCCAAGCAGTAAAACACTGACAGCTTTCCCAAACAACCACTCACACACAGTATCCGTAATATCCCCCTGAAGAGTGTAATTTGTGGTGGGATAACAAGTGAAATGCCTCAGGCTTGTGCACTGGCACTTTCAAAACACACAGTATCAAGATGATCTTTAGAAGTATTTAACTTCAAATTGTTTATTCTGAAGAGAAAGAAGCACCTTCAGGGCCCACCATCATTTACAGGAAATTCAAACTGCCCATCTTCCCATGGGACCAGCTCAAGTTTGTCCACCCTGACCATCAGACAATTTATCTTGTGATCCCTCACTGCTTCCTCAGCTTTCTTTTCAGCCTGGGCAACTCAGTATCATCAGCACCATTTACTGGGTGACAAATGACTATCCCCACCTCTTGCTTCTAAGATTCTAAGACTCCAGGACTACCCTCTTTCACAAGAACAGGCAGAACCTGTCTTAGGCAACGTGCTGAACTTAACTAAAAAAACCTGCCAAAAAGTAAAAATAGCGAGTGACAAAGATGAGTGAGTCATAAAACTCAGTGTCACTACACACAAAGCTCAGGCACTGAGGAGTGGAGACATTACACCAAATTGTGCAGACACCATGACGTCCCCAAATCAGCTCAGGAAACCTCGTGGAGTCACAGAGGGCCACTCTCTGCAGAGATCTGGCAGATCCACGAGCACTGGTTACAAGGTGACCAGGACTTTGCTGCTCAGTGTGATCCACAGATGTTACATGCAGCTGGTAATTCATCTATTTCTGCATCAGGACAGCCCCACCGCATCCTTAAATTCCACAGCTGGTTAGCAGAGCCTATTAACAGCAAATTAACAAGCAAAGGCTGCCAAAGTCAGATGAAACTGGAGTTCAAGGAAGCAGCTGATAGAACACTTTTGGCAGGAAACTAATCAAGTACAGCAGTTTCTGAAGGAATACACTCAGTCCAAAAGCTGCCAAATTTGGGGGTTTATGTCCCCTCCCACTTGTGTCTCCACTGTGTACCAGGGACTTTGAGGGGCACTCATGGAAAGAATTAACAAGATCCACAAAGGTGTCAAATCTGGGCTCTCCTTGGTGGCCTCCTAAGCAAATGCCAGGATTCCTCAGCTCCATTTAACTTGGATATTCCAGCTATTAACACAAGCTGGCCTGACAGCTTTACAGTACAAAAGACTTCCTGACACCTTTGATAACCCTTGGGAGAGTGAGTGATTTTTTTCCTTTTAAACAAAATCCTAAAGCCGCTTAATATGTTTAAAAACTTAACGTGCTGGGTTCCTTCCATCCATCATTAAAAATGCCAACATACCTGTCACGCTTAAAAACACAGGATCATTAATTTATTCTGGGGTCTTGACAGTTATTTTACTGTCGTTTCAGAATCATAAATTTAGCCACTCGTTAACACTCTCCCAGGTGGGATTCATCTCAAAGTCATGGTGCTCAGGAATCTAAACACTCTCCTGCTTATTAAAGAAAGAAGTTATAAAAGCTTCGTTTTTTGGTATTTTTAATACAGTGAGGGATACAAGCAGAGAGGCAACTTGCAAATTTGGATCCCCCCCCACTTTGTACAGGTGTGATTCCTAGTGATGTTATGCTACAGGTGGTAATGGTGCTGGTGAAGGAGCTGGTTGGTCACTGAGCTCTCCCACCACGATCAGAAGGAAGTTCTCTGGAGTGGTGGGACTCCAGGAGGGAAGGGGCACCCGTCTTCTACCTAAAAATTATCTCCCAAGGGTCCTCTTCTCATAGTTATCTATAAAAACTGTCCTTCAGCCCTTCATTTATCACACACCAAGCTCAGAAGACAATGTAGATCCACTGCTGAAGTGCTCATGTCCCCAGACTGAGGAACCAGGTGCCCCCTTGCCTGCCAGAACCCTGCCTTTCAGCAAAGCTATTTTTCATGCTCCACTCGGATCTGTACCAGAAATCAGGCTGGGTATGTACGTGCCACATTTCAAACACCCTGGCACAAAGTTTCTACTGCAAAGCCTCAAAGAGCAGCTTGCCACAGCCAAAGTTCCCCCAGCCAGACACCCACAAGCATCTCCACTCTGTTCTGCAGGAAGAGTCTCCTCTTTCTTAACACACAGTTTTTTAAAGGAGCTGCACCGGGAGTGGTTTGGGAGAGCAGACAGAGAACAGGGAAGGATTTTAAAAAGCCAGAATCACAGATTTTGTTAACCTGGGTAACGCCACCACCCTGCACGTGACAAACCCACCCAGGGAGAGCTTCCTGAGGCTTCCCCTCGGCGCAACTCACCTCGCCCGAGTAGCTGTACTTCCCCTTCAGGATCTGCCGGTACAGGCGGGTGCGGTTGTCGTCCTCGAAGGGCATCGTCCCGCTGAGCAGGATGTAGGAGATCACGCCCAGCGCCCACATGTCCACCGAGTTCGTGTAGGGCTTCCTGACCAGGATCTCGGGGGCGATGTACTCCGGGGTGCCGCAGGTGGTCTTCATCAGGCAGTCGTCCCCCTTCTTCCGCGTGCTGGCCAGCCCGAAGTCCGTGATCATGATCTTGGAGTCCGTCCCCGGGTGGTAGTACAGCAGGTTCTCGGGCTTCAGGTCGCGGTGGGTGATGCCCAGCGTGTGCAGGTACCGGACGCCGTCCAGCACCATCTGCAGCACGCGCGTGGCGTCCCTCTCGGTGAAGGAGCCCTTGGCGATGATCCTGTCGAAGAGCTCTCCGCCCGTCGCCAGCTCCATCACCATGTACACGCGGTCCTGGGTCTCGAACACCTCGATGAGCTGGATGATGTTGGTGTGCCGCACGCGGCGCAGCACGCTGAGCTCCGACTCGCACACCTCCCGGCCCTCGCGGTACTTGGTCTCGATCATCTTGATGGCGTAGGGCTGCTTGGTGGCCTTGTGCTCCACCCGCACCACGCGGCTGAAGCTGCCCCTCCCGATCAGGGCCTTGATGTCGTACTTGGCCGTCACCCTGGGGTCGAACTTGGCGCGGTATTTGGCCACTTTGTTCTTGCGGGGCTCGGGCTGCTGGGCAGGCAGGGCGTGCCCGGGGTAGGGGTTGGCGTGGTGAGGGGGCGAGGGGGAGCCGGCCTTGATGGCAGCCCCGCAGTCATCCCTGATGAAGTGCTTGTAGATGTCGCTGTGGCCCGTGTAGGGTTCCACCTTTTTGACCAGGTCCAGCTGCACGTCTTTGGGGGGCTCGGGAAGCACTTTGCTTGTCCCGCAGCCCATCCCTGACTGGTGTTAATTCCCTGTCAAGGCATGTTCCCAGGGGAGCAGCAGCAGCAGCAGCCACATCCGGGACAATTCCCGCATTTGAACCTCAGGAGAAGAACGAGGAGAAACAAACAAATTGGAATCGAGGCAGTAAAGGTTCAAATGGGGAAAAAAGAAAAAAAAAGTAGGCCCTGTGCTACCACAGACTAAGAATTTGGGATTGACCAAGCACAGTGCTCTGCTGCTTCCATCACAAGCCAGTGAGGATGGGGCCCATAAACACAGCCATGGTCAGAACCCTGGATGTGTCCATGGAAATCACACAGTATCCCTTTTTATTGAGCACAGTTTCTGTTCTGCTCCCAGCTGAGCACTGAATCACAGTCACAGAGTGGTTGAGACTTCTGGAGGTCTTTTTGTCCTTAATTGCTTAATAAAAATCAAATTAAGGAAAGAGTCAAGCATTTTCCTTTGCTTTGTTCCAGCTGCTCAACTTCACACAACAGCAGCCACTGCAAACCTCGGAGTTCTGAAATGCCTCACCAGCAGCTCCACAAAGAACCTCAGCAACTTGTTCACTAAACAAATCTGCTTAAAATTCCTTTAGATTGAACTTTTACAGGTGTCCCAAACCTCTCCCTGCTTTGCTCCTGGGGATCAGCGGAATGGCACAGGAAGGGAACACAGAGCCAGAGGCTCCATCCAAGGTGGGCTTCAAATCTCTCAACAGCCTGACTCAGTTTTTGCTTTATTTGACACCTCCAGGCACCAAGTGGCACTTCTGGCTCTCCCCATGGAGCTGTGTGCAGCGAGTGGAATTCCCACCAGCTCTTCCAGACGAGGAGCTCTTGCTCATCACGCTGTATTTGAAATGAAAACCAAATCAGGCAGGTCTTTACGTGCTGATTAAAGCCCTATCACTGGCCAGGAGATGGGGAAGCTGCCTGTGGCTCTGGCAGTTTGCCACTGGCACCTTTTGGCTCAGAGCCCATCAGTGGGTGCCTGAGCCTTTGCAGGAGGCTACGAAAAAACCATTTCAGCTTTGAGATGTGACCTCAGGTCTTACCATCACCGGGTGAATCCCCGCTCAGGCACCACCTCTCCACCCAGCTCCTCAGCATGAACAGCAGAGAAGGAACCCTGGCTGCTTTTCCATCGGGAGAATCGGGTGGAGAAATAAGAAATGTTTTAAAGGGACGCCCCGAGGAAATTTAGAACTCTGCATCCAACCTGGAAAGAAAAGCAGGCTTTAGTTAAGATTTAGGTTTAAAAATGAAAAACATCCCCAAAGGAACTTCTCAGGGGAGCCCTGCAGGCAGCACCCTGAGGTCAAGCACACCAGCCATGCACCCTACCTGTGGTGGGGCACAACTCCTCATCAGTGCAGGTGGAAATACCCTGGATAACAATCACCACGAGTCTGGGGAAAGGAAATGAAGAAATGGGGCGTTACAAGCCCACTCCAAGGGGTGTCAGTCACCTGCCCAGATCCCCCAAGGCCAGGCAGACCTTCCACCCCCAAGTAAACACATCACAACTCGAAGCTCTTTAACGCTGCTGTTCTGTGAGATGCCAGTTTGGAACTGCGAACAGAGCAGCTCTGAACTGTGTTAATTCAGAGCTCAAACACAGCAACCTGCAAACCACACCTGTGCCAACACAGCAGCGCTGAGAGCACCTCACCTGAGAGCACAAACCTGGCACAGACCTGGCACAGACCCGGCATTCCCAGCGGGAGCCTCCCGCGGGTTCTGCAGGGCACACCCGGGGCTGGGGCTGCTGCAGCACCGCATGCAGCTGTGCCGGAGCCAGGGGCGGACCGGGCTCGGCCAAACCAACCGCGACTCCCAGAACTCCTGACTGTTTTCACAACTCCTCCCGAGATTTCCACACCTCCCACTGTTTCCATCACTCATCCCGACCCGGGCCGTTTCTCGCCCATCCCGGACAGCAGACGCAGGGCCGTGCCGGTGCTGGAGGTTGTCCCGCGGCAGGCCCGGCTCCAGGCCCGGGGAGCGCTGGAGGGACTCACGGGGGGCGGGCAGGGCTCGCACCCCGGCCCGCCCGTTCCCGCGGCCCAGCGCTCCGGGCAGCGGCAGTGCGGAGGCGCGGAGACCCAAGGAAGGAGGGAGGGAGAGGGGGATAAGGAGGCAGCGGTGCCGGAGCCGCCACCGAGACCGCCGGGCCCGACTCACCGGGGCCCGCTCCCGACCGCGCCGCGGCGCCGCCTCCTGACGTCATCACCGCGCGCCGGGGGACGCCCGAGGGGCGGGGGGGGCGGGGCCGAGGCGTGAGGGGAGGGGCAGCGCTACCGCCCCCTGGCGGGGCCGCGGGAGCGGAGCGGGGGTCCCTCAGGGGTGTGGGATCCCCCAACCCCACCGGGAACCCCCTCGGTGCCATCTGGGAACCCTCAGGGCTCTGGGACCCCCCAGCCCCATCTGGGACCCGCCAGCCCCACACGGGACCCCTCAGTGCCATCTGGGGCTCCTCAGGGATCTGGGACCTCCCCAGCCCCATCCGGGACCCCCCCAGCCCCATCCGGGACCCCCCAGCCCCATCTGGGACCCCAGCCTCAAGGGACCCCTCAGTGCCATCTGGGGCCCCTCAGGGCTCCAGGACCTCTCAGCTTCCTCAGGGACCCAGGAGCCCCCCCCAGCCCCATCTGGGACCCCCCTCAGTGCCATCGGGGAACCCTCAGGGCTCTGGGACCCCCAGCCCCACACGGGACCCCTCAGTGCCATCTGGGACCCCTCAGCCCCATCGGGGTCTCCTCAGGGCTCTGGGACCCCTCAGCCCCACGGGGCCCTTGGAACCCCTCAGCCTCCTGGACCCCCCTCATCCCCCTGGCCCTGCTGTCCCCCACAAAAATTGTGTTTGTTCCCCGGTGTGCAACGAGCCGGTACTGACACCCTCGAGAGAGACGCTGCTTGTTGATTCCAGAGCTCCCCACGTGCTCGGGGCTATTCCACAAATCCAGCACGTCCCACTGGACTTGCCACGTTGTTATTCACACACGAAGCTCAGTCAGTAAATTCCCAAGCACAGCCCCTCTATTGGGTTCATTAGTGATTCCCATGCAAATCACATAACCTGGGTAACTTCTACTCACGCTCAGGGGAAGGGTCTTCACCTGGGCAGGGTCTTTTTGACCTGTAGGTGTGATTTTTAGTATTATCATGAAGATAGTTCAGGTCTAAGATACGTGGACCTGGAGTGCTTTAGCCACGTTGGCAATGTCTACGTGGATGTACGTCAACATCTTGATTTACTACATCCTTAGTCCTTGATTTACTGCATCCAGGATGTCCTTGAGTAAAGGATGCTGGATGCTGCCGCTTCCAGTGGTTAGGTCTCCTCTCATACCAGTTAGACTTCAAAGTACACAAAGATCAAACATCAAAAACCATCCTGACTTAAGACAATCTTGGCATGTCCTGCCTTTTGGAACACTCTCTGAGCCCCACGGGGCCTTGGACCCCACTCAGCCCCATGGGCCCCCAGGGATGGTGTTCCCTCTCCCCACGCTCCTGCCTCAGGGGGATGGCCATGGGGATGCACTGCCCGAGGATGGATGGCTGGATGGCTCCTCACCTCCTTCCCAGAGCCAAACCCAGCTCCGAGAGCAGCTCCGAGGGCTCCCCGCTGGGCTCCGGGGCTCTGGGAAAACACTCCCTTTGCCAGAGAATCGCCCGGAAGCGCCGATCCTTTTCCTTGGCAGGGGAAAAACCCGGTCCCTGCGGGCTGGCTCTTGTGCACCGCAGAATAACAAGGCACATTCCTTTCCCCTTTCTCTTCCCCGGCTACCAAGTGCCACAAAACCCGCAGAGTTTGCTTGGTAACTGCCTGTGGGCCTTTCTTCCTCGTATCCTTTGCCCATACCCAACAAAACACTGCACAACCCAGCCCTGGATGACCTGAGAGCAGGGGGATGAGGGATGACACCTCGCAGGGATGCTGACGGCTCTCCTTTCTCCGGGGAAGATGCAAAGGCGACACTGCCGGGCTTGTTTTCCAGCCCGGCTGTCACGTCATTCCCGAGGCGGTTCGGGTGGAGCGGGGCTATTTTCACACTCCCACCATGTTTTTAAAAATAGCTGGGTTTATTCCAATGCTCCTGGGATCTTCGGCTGTTTAAAATGATTAGTAAGTCACACTGTAATAAAAGTTGTACCTGCTGATGCACACTATTGTCATCAGCTTCTTCTCCACGTAATCCCCAATAAGGCGCAGAAACTGAGGGGAGGGGCTGCCTGGGCTGGACCCGACAGATCTGATGAGTTGTGTAGTTCCCTGCATGAAAAATTCCCCAGCTTTTGTTGTCCCACACAGTAATGGTGCTATTGGCACGTTCTCAGCCCTCTTACCCGCCCCCCTTTTCGTTCTGGAGGTGTTTCCACAGCCACACGTCCTCTGCCCTGTCCCTGGGAGGTGGCTTAGCCTGTGTCTGTCGCGTAAAACCTCGCACGTGTCCCTGTTTAAGTTGATCCTGTTATTTTAGGCTGTTTCTCAAGGTCATCCCAGCTTGGTGCCACCAGAGTGTGCCCCTCCTCGTCGTGCCAGCTGCTCCAGCTGGGTGTAGAGCAGTGGGCTGCCTCACCTCTGCCACAGGGATAAGTGCTCTGCAAGGATGCGTTTCCCTCAGGGGATGCATCTTCCATTAGCCGCTTCCTCACAGCTCTGTTTCCTGACCAGCCTCGTGAGAACACCAAATGAGGCACTTCCAGGCCCATCACCGCTGGAAGATGTCAAAGTCTTGGGCCAGAACCACGCACTTCTGAGAACTTTAATCAGAGCAGCTCGCTCCTGTATTATTTATGCCGTGGTGGTGCTCTGAGACCCACTGAAGCCAAGGGAAAGTCACACCAGACGATCCGCACGAAGCCGACATCCGCCTGGCAAAGCACCCAGGGATGAGGCAGGGAACTGTCTGCTCATCCACATGATCCGCTGCCTGCCAGGTCAGGCACTCAGTTTGGCTTTGGGGTCACCGTCTATTGGCCCCCGAAACCCGTTAATCCATCTGGAGCCATCCCTGAAGCTACAGCAGGAAGTTTTCCCACCAGGATAAGCACCTTGTTCCTTGGGGACACCGGCCCTGCAGCCTCTTGTCCCTCTGGGTGTGGGTGCCTGGGCTCCCACCGGCGCTGCTTCATCCCATCCCTCAGCAGCCACGCCAGGCCAGAGCTCAAGGTTGTCCCGGGGAAGGCTGAGCGGAGGTCGGAGAGGGAGGATGTTCAATTAAAGCTGCTTAAAAAAAGAAATCCAACTTTCCATATGCCTCTCTCTGGGGAATAAAAAAGCCCCAGGGCTGAGCGCAGATGGGGTGCCGGGCGGTGGACAGAACACAGCCCCCACGGCAGAGGTGACTCCGGCTCAGCTGTTCCCACCACCCACGATCCGCGGGGATTGAGGTTGACTTTTGGTGTTCCCTCACGGAGAGTTGGACATTTGGCTCGGCAGAAATCCCCAGGCAAGCTCGGGCAGTGGCCAGGCCTGTGTCACAGTGTCCTCCAAGCTACTCACGGCTTCCGACGCTCCCGCTCATCCCAGGGTGCCGGTGATGCCGGAGGCGGCTCCGCTGGTGCCTGGGTGGGCTTTTCCATGGGGACACCAGGCTGGAACAGTGGCACTGGGGGCCGTGGGAGGGCAAGGAGCCATCCCCCTTCTGCTGGTGGCCCCCACACTGACCCACCCAGCTGGGGAAACTCAAGTGCATCCCCACAGATGAGGAGTCATTCCCTGGCCGGCACCTTCACCGGGAGGAGTTTCCCTGGGGAAAGGGCTGGAGGATTCAGCCCTGGTGTGGTGGAGGCGTCAGGTGGAGTGGCTGGGAGGTTGACCCTCGTGCCACCGTGCCACGTGTGCCATCTCCCTCACATAGCCACCCAGAATAGTGTCACCATCTGGTTCCTGCCACCCAGGATGTGGGAACCTCCCCAGCCCCTCCTGTGATTACAAAAAGTGAATTCAAACATCAACTCAGCCGGACTCGGGCAGCCTTTATCCCTTTTTTTTTTTCTTTCTTTCTTTTTTTTAATAATTCAAGTTCGTCTCTTAGAGAAGAGAGAGAGAGAGGGAGATAATGTCTGCAGAGCATTTAATCTTCTGCCCAAAGAATAGCAGAGAGCAAATTAGGATCTACTCCAATTAATTTGCCTTGATGGGCAAAATCTGGAGAGCGGCCATATCTGGGAATTAGGAACAAAAGCAGGGAGTGTAAAGTAGGTCACCGGAGTTTCATAACCGGAACGAGGGGTTTCCACACTAGGTGCTCCAGAGGCTCCCGGTGCCGGGCTCCACTGGTCTCTGTCCCCCTCAGATCCGCAGGTTTCAGTCCTGGACTGTTGCTTTAAGATCCTACCAGTGCTCAGGGGGCCAGTTGTTTGTTCTAGGGGCAGGAGCAAGGATTTTGTTCCTTTCCACAACGGGACACAGCTGCAGGGCTGTCCCAAACCCTCAGACACAACAGAAAGACAGGCACCAGCTCATTGTCCCCATTCTGGAGCACCCAAAGAGCTTTCTGATGGTCAGCATGCCCACCCTTGCTGTCACACTGCCACCCTCAGCCCTGCAGGCACCTTCTTGAAGGAGGACCAGGTGTCACGGGTGGCAGTGGGGTTTGGACAGTGCTTTGCCAAGGGCTCTTGCACTGTGGGGCATCACCAAGCAGTGGTGACACACAGGCCCACCCTAACCCAGTACCCTCAAATCCTCGTCCCAATTCCCCAGACCCATCAGTGCCTGCAGGCACCGTGTGGTGACATATTCTGGTGTCACCTTCCAGCCGCAGGACACGTATGGAGGCAGTGCCAAGTGGTGACGTGCGCTGGTGCTCAGGACACAGGGTGACATGGCTAAGGGCGTGTGACATGTACAGAGACATCTTCCAGGACACAGGACGTGCGTGGCGTGTCTTTCCACAGGCAGAGTGTTTGGTGGGTGACAGCGGCTCTGATCCCAGGCTTTGATCCCGGTGGGATGGAAGTGTCACGGTGACCCCCCTGCCCCCACCGCTCCCGTCCCCACGGAGGTGCCGGCGGGCGCTGCGTGGTGCGAGGCCGGCGCCCGGCCGGCGTTTATCCTCTTAGCCACCCTGCCGGGATCCGGCACTAATTCACCCTTAAACACAGGATTGTTGGGAACCGGGAAGGGAAGAATCGGCGGATTATCCCCCCGGCGCTGGCGTTAAACATGGGGAGCGGCAGCTGCCGGAGGAGGAGGGACGAGGTGGTGTCTTGCCCCGCGTCCCATGGGGCGACAACCCGTCGTCCCCCAGCAAGCCCAGATGTTTTGTGTCCCCCTCCAAGTCAGCTCCAGGCTGGTAATGAAACAAATAACATGAAATAAATATGGGGCTGCCCACAAAGCTGAGGGATCGACAGCAACTGCCCAGCTCTGTGGGATGCACCACAGCACGACAACCACAGCAGTGTTTCCTGGCCCCAGAGGCTGGCAGGGGACTGGGACAGCCAGGGTGACATCCAGAGGTCAGGGATCACACGTGACCAGACCTCGCAGGAAGAGGTTTTATGATGAAACAAACAAACAATAATTTTCCCTGGCTCAACAAAGACAGCAGTAACTGAGCTTCTCACTCACACACTGAAGGCTTTCAGCCACGGGCCAGTGGGAAAACGCTTCCCTGGGCCAGAACCGCGTGCCCAGCTGCTGGAATGTGTTTGGGACAGCCTCGAGGTCACCCCAGGAATCACAGAAATGGCAACAACTCGCTACTCAGGAGCTCATCATCACTCCTGCTCGTGGCTGAGCCTGGCACAATCCACGGCATGCTGGCACTCGTGCTGGCCAGAGGATTGTGCTGCCTTTCCCAAGCAGGATCTATTCCCACGTGCCCACCAGATCTACCCACCACCACTGCCAGGAGCTGGGATCTGCACCAGTGAGGAGCCCGGGATCTGTGCAACAGCTGGGCTGGCCCATCTGCAATTCCAGTGGCCCTTTAGGTAGCGGGGAGGGGAGTGGTGATGGCTGTGTCCTGGAGAGTGGGGAGACCCCTCACCAGCCCAGGCCTGGGGGAGCGGGTTTGCACAAAGGGTTTCAGTAGCTGGGGAAAAAAACATCTTAACTTTTCAGCATTAACAGGGATGGGAATTACAGTGTCTTCCACTGACAGGCACACAAGTTTAACAAAGTTAAACTCCCACACGTCATCTTGGTTCAACTTCAGCAAGTCCCACTTGGACCTGGATGAAAGCTTCAGTTCTGTGTTTTTTCATCTCTATCACTTCAGTTAAAAAAAAAACCCTCTCTTCCCTGCAAACCCCAGTTTTCTTCATGACCATGAATACAGAAGGACTAAAATAAAAGGATTGGAAAATAGGATTCCTCACAGAAAATGTCACCGGAGTTGCCCATCAGAGGACAAGCTATCAGCTGCAAAAAAGACAAAAAGAGAAATACACGCCCTGTGCTTTCCTAAGGTGACTTTTAAAATGAAGAAACCATTTGACCCACCCCTAAAGGGAATATCTGCCATGCCCAGCCCTGAAAGCAGCTGTCAGGGAACACCAGGTCAATGGGAATCCCCAGGACAGCCCTCCTGGGGCTCCTGGAAACAGAGACGCTGACCCTCCCTGCTGACCCTGCTTGGGGACTGATCCAGGGAGCATCTCCTCTCCAACCCCCGGAGCTTGGGAAAGGGTGTGAGGGGCGCCCCATGGCAGAGAGACAGGAGAAATGTAAAAGTGTCTTTTAATATAAATATAAATCCATCTGAAGTGCTGCAGGAGAGGACCGTGCCCCGCGAGGGATGCCCGGGAGGGAGGTGGGCTCGGTGGGGACCCGTTCCTGGTCAGAACCAGGGGGACCAACCCATGGTGTCACCTGGGCACCCCCGGGCAGGCAGGGCTAGGGCCGGGCCAGCAGCAGCGGCAGGGCCAGCAGGGCCAGGAGATGGGGGTGCAGGGGGGTGGCCGAGCCCCGCAGCGTGGCCTGGTTGGTCTCAGCGGCCGGCGAGCCCTGGGCGCTGGCCAGGCGGCCCCGGGCGCTGCACAGCTCCTGCAGGTTCCCCTGGAACTGGATCTTGCGGGACTCCTGGCGCAGCGACTCCCAGATGGCGGACGCCTCCACGGGGCACTTGGACAGCACCTCGCTGGCGCAGGCGTGGAAGTCGTCCCAGGACCTGGGGAGGAGGGCAGGAGTGTGGTGGTGGTGGGGGATGCTGGTGGCAGGTCACTCGGCCGTCCCAGCGGCTCCCACAGGGACGGGGACACTCACTTGCAGATGGTGTCCAGCTCCTGCGCCTCCTCGCCGCCCTCCTCCTGCTGCTGCCGGACGCTCTGGGCCATGCTGTCCCCCAGGCTGATGAGGCAGCCAGCGAAGCCCTTGTAGATGGTGTCGCACTGCCCGGCCATGCTCACGGGCTCCTGGCTCGCGGCTGGGGGGGCACAGAGAGGAGAGACAGAGCTGAGACCCTGTGGAACCCCCTGACAGCATCGCCCACCCAGCTCGGGGGTGCCTGGGGTGAGGGTGGCACGGGGTGGGGGTGACACTGGGGCTCTGAAAGGTGGGGAGGGGGTTCTGCATCCCCCTGGACCCCCCTGGCACCCCCTCCCTGGGCACTTGTAGTGAACCTTCGCTCCCTGCCCGGGGTCCGGCACGGCACAGTGTGGCGACCCCGCAGTGATGCTGCCATCAGCCCACGGGGCTCCTGCCCGCCGTGTCGCCTCGGGCCTCCCCAGCTCTCCCCAGAGCCATCTGTCCCGGTCTTTATCCCCTGACAGCAAAGATTAATTTGTGACTACAACAGAAAAAAAAAAAAACAAACCACCAAACAAAGCAAAGGCTCAGCAAGCTGGAGTCCCTGCTCTGACTGTAGCGGGAGAGAGGGGGAAAGAGGGAAGGGAAAATGGAAGGGGAAAGGGGAAAAGGGAGGGAAGAGGAAGGGGAAAGGGGAATGGGAAGGGGAAAAGGAGAAAGAGGAAAGGGAAATAGGAAAGGGAAAGGGGGAAGAGAAAGGGGAAGGAAAATCACAAAAGGCAGAGGCACAAGTGCAACTCTGGCTGCTTCGTTCCGAGAAGCCTCAATTCCCTGCTCTACTCCACAAAGGATTCACCACTGGCTGTGGGATGATGGGTGACAGGCTGTATTGGAGAGGACTGTGAGAGCATCCATGGTCGGGGGAAGCCCCAAAAGAGCTGGTGCATGGCTGGGTCACCAAAAAGGTGTGTGGCCAGGTGACAGGGAAACCCTGCATGGTCCCCAGCTCTGCCCTGGGGTCCCGCAGGGCCAGACAGATGTGGGTTCCCTGGGCCAGTTCATGGAGTTGTGAGAGTTTTGGAAGTGCCATGGGTGTGTGCCAGGGAGGTCTCCAACTGAGGACAGTCCTGCTGGGGACCCCTGAGGGAAGGTGAGCCCAGAAGGAACTGAAAGTTGCCCGGTGGCTGCTGAGGCAGCCAGGATGACTCCAGGGAGCCGCATGCCTTGCTGCTGGCATCCTGTGTCTGTGCCCCTGGAACCAGGTCCTGAGCAAAGCACCTGTGGCCGAGACCAACAAGCCTGACAGCCCATCACAGGGCACAGCACGTGTTTGTGATGAGAGCCCCGGGGCACATCACCGAGGACGGTCTCTGATGGCAGACACGTGGGGCACAAACACAGCAGGTATCGATAAAGTGGGACCCATTGCTCCTCTTTTGACCCAGCCAAGCACGTCTCCCACCAGCCCAGAGACACAGCAGATGCCCACCCTCAGCCGGCTGGTCCCTGCTGCAGGCTGAGGTTTGACCTCGTGGGCTCCTCTAATTCCCGGCAGGAGCCCTTCCCTCCGCCCAGCTCCTTCTGCACAAGGCTGGGCAGGGCAGGCGAGGAAGGAGAAACCAGGAGGGTAAATCATCTCCGCTACCCCGCTGCAAACCCATGGGGAAAAAACCTGCCCCCGGCTCCGTCAGGGAGAAAAACCCCAAGGAAACGCACAGAGGAAGTTTCCCAGGGCGCTGCAGAGCATCGCTTGCTCCCAAGCGAGTGCGAGTGCCGACGCGGCCATCCTGCTCCTGGGGAAGGATCGGAATCACCCACCCTTTGAGCCTGAAATCCTCCCGAAGCTTGTGGTCCCTGTCCTCCACCCTCCGTGCGGTCGGACCAGGTTAACCCCAGCCCTCCATCCTTCTTCAGGGCAGGGATGTCACTGGGTGCTGCTTTGTCCCACGTCCTCCCTCAGCTCACGGAGGAGCGGGAGAGTGTGGAGGGGATGCGCTGGTGCCGGTGAGGGTGCGGGAGGGCAGCAGGGAAAGCCGGCAGGAACGCGGGCTGAGCACACGGCGCTGGTTCGGGACTGGGGAACGGGAGCAGAGGGACCCCGGACAGCGCTGCAAAGCCGCGTCGGAGCATCGCAGGACACGGGACAAGAGTGGATGGATCTCTGAGCAGCGGGACAAGCGCGTACCCCGCTCCCCGCAGCTACTGGGGGTGCGGGAGGCGCGGCGGCAGCAGAGCCGGAGGCGGCCGGGGGTCCCGCTCCCACCCGCCAGCCTCCCCCCCCCAGCCCCGGCGGTGTCCGCCCCGCATCCCGGCCCCGCGGCACTCACCGAGGTGCAGGAGCAGCGGGCACAGCACGCCGAGCAGCCGCCAGCAGCCGCCGCCCATGGTGCGGACCCCGCGCCGCCGCCGCCGAGTGCTCCGAGCCCGCAGCCCCGGCTCCGCCGCCCGCCCCCGGCACCGCCCCGGGACCAGCCCCCGGCACCCGCTGGGCCCGCCCCGCCGAGGGGCGGAGGAGCCCCCGGGGCTGGACCCTGCTCCTTGCAGTTCATCGCGGAACGGTTGGGGTCGGAAGGGACCTTAAAGACCCCTTCGTTCCAATCCCCTGCCACGGGCTGCGACACCTTCCACTAGACCGGGTCGCTCCAAGCCACAACCTGGCTCTGAACGCCGCCAGGGATGGGGCAGCTTCTCTGGGCAACCTGTGACAGTACCTCACCACTCTCACAGGGGAGGATTTCTTCCTAACGTCCAATCTAACCCTGCCAGTTTGAAGCCATTCCCCCTTGTTCTGTCAACCCATGCCCTTGTCCAAGGTCCCTCTCCAGCTCTCTTGGAGCCCCTTTAGGTAGTGGAAGGTGCTGTAAGGTCTCCCCAGAGCCTTTTCTTCTCTTTTCCAGGAGGGAGGAGCAGCAGGAGACATTTTTGCTGTGAAAAGGGAAATTAGTGTCCCCTTCCCACAGCTGGCAGCCCACCACTACCTCCTGGCTCTCCCAGGAAGCAGAGATGGCTGGGACCGGCTGGACTCACATGGGAAAGCTTGAACAGAGACTGGAGAAAATCTGGGAAGAGAGAGGGCATCCTGGCCTCAGGCTTGAGCCTGGAAAGGGTTTGATATCCTCAAAGGCCATGCAGCCTCCCCTCCATCACATAGCAGAAGAAGATCTCCACTTTTTTTTTTTCTCAAAAAGTTTTTTATTGAATTGTTCTTAATGTTATTTCAAAAAAAAAAAAAAGAAAAAAAAAACAAAAAACTCAAACAAAAAAAAAAACCAAACAACAAAAAAACCTTCAAAATTTAGATAAAAAGAAAAACCTTGGTGTAAGAACCAAAACTAATGCCTGAAACATGGACATGCTCCGATGCACAACAGAACCAGCTCGCTGCTGCCTGAGCACCCCAACCCAGAGCCTCTCCTTGGGGCGCTCCAGAGGCAGCACCCCCTGCCCAGCCATGTCAGGTGGGCCAGACCCCATCCCCTGCTGTGGATCTGGAGTTATCAGCCTTCGGAGTAACTACGGGACTAACTACCATCCTGAACTAACCGCTCCCGCTCCGCTGAGCCTGCGCCTCCCCCCGCGGGGAGGAGGGGGCTGAGCCCTTCACTAAGCTGTGGGTACCAGGTTTCTGCTCAGCCAGGAGCTCGGGGCTCAGCGCACACCTCCCTCCTCCTTCGCTGACGGCGGCAGACTCCAAACCTTTAAAGGGGTAAGAAATCCATCGGCTCCCGCTGCGCGCGACTCGCGCTGCCAGCCGGGCCTCGGGGACGGACGGGCAGGCGAACGAGAGATTTAACTCTCTCAGAAAAGAGGCTATTTAGGAAAAAGAAGCCAAGTGAACGTTCAGTGACTATCTGGAACTATACACAGATGGCGTTTTTGCCTTAGAGACATCACACGTGTGTCAATAGGTTTCCTGGCAAGAGCTCTTAACGCAAGCCAGACGTCGTTTGTAACTACTGATCTGCTGGGTGGGCTCGGGTGGGGCAGCCCACGAGGCAGCCAGGTCCTCCTTAGGTCATGCTGGGGGTGACCAGGCCCTGGAGCATGATCATGAGGCGACGTGCAGACTTGTTCAGAGGGTTGTGAGGTTCCACCTGGACGAACTGGAAGAGCTTCTGCCGCACCTGGTTCATGACTGACCCCATGTGGTCTCGGGTGATGGGGTCACTTTGGTCCAGGTGCATCACTGCGTCCTCCAAGTAACTGGAGGAGAGAGAGCAAGGTTAGAACCAAACCCAACGAGCGATCCCAACCTTACTCGGTTCATTTTAGCATTGAAGATGCACAATTCTGCTCCCCACCCACCCAAACTTTGCAGTATGTTCAATAGTCAGGAAACAAATTTTCCTGACTCACAGCAGAGTCTACCTATCCCTTCCTTGACATTTAAGGGCAGCCTACAGCTCCCAGCCTGCCCCACCTGCCACACAACCTGGCAGCTGGAACCAAAGCAGGAGCAACAGCAAGAACTCCCCACGGTGCTGGAGGTGGCTCTGAGTAGATGTTTTCTTTGATGCCTTTGTAGTGTGTGCAGAATTAGTCACTCATTAGACAGTAACACCCTCCGGGCAGTGAGGCTCAGTTCGTGTAGGGTTATATTTAAGGTCTATCCCAGAAGAAGTGGGGGAAGAGCAAGACTTTTACCAGTAAGCCTCTCTGAAGTTCAGAGCCATCAGCTTTCAAACCACAGCCTGAGTAAGGCAATGTGGTCACTGCAGAAGGTTTCCACTAACAGACCAGTTTAAACTTCACAGCAGCAGCTTTAGCCTCAGTTACCATCTTGACTGCAACTTGAAGCTCTTTTCAGTTTTTCTAGCTCGCTTTATCCCTATTAAATCAGGTTTTGAACTCAAGTTAACTCCTTTTTCCACACAAGCCACGTCAAAACCTGTAGGAACCTTAAGAAATTAGTTTTTCAGGGCACATAACAGGGTTTTGACTCACTCACTAAAAATGCTCATGGCAAGTATCAGCACAGTCACTATTTTGTCACACAAGCTTTGCTTGGAACATCTACCAGACACTATTCGAGTAGCTCCTGCTGCCACCTCCCACTGAGCCTTTCTGGGAGTCACGACGAGAAACTGCCAACACAAAGTCCAGGGACAGGTTAAGAATTGAGGACAGAGCAAAGTTGCTCTGGATACTCTGCTATCCAGGGAACAGGGCAGTATCCCTATTTTTGCCTCCCCAGAGGAATTGTTCCTCAGGGAAAGGGGATCACTGCACAGACTGCAAATATTTACAGGCTACGATCCCAGAGGTACCGGGCACTTACAGCTGGGTACTCCCTGCACCGCTCCCTCTGGGCAGCAAAGCTTTCCGTGGCAATGCTGGCGCGTTTTTCCAAGTTCCTGGTTGTAAACATGCCAGGAACAGGCTACAGAAGCTCCAACTTTTGTTGAAGCACCACCTTTCACTTCCAGGCAGTGAATTTAGAGCCAGTGCCAGGAACAGAACCCGATGCTCTGATCATACTCACTTCAACTTCAGCTCTGTACGAGTGCCCAAATCCGAGGAGAGCTGCTGGATGAGGGAGAGCAGCACGGGCTGGGACAGCGGGCACGGATGCTGCCCAAATACTTGCTGAGTATCCACAGTCTCACAGACATACAGGACCAGGTTGAGATCAGCTGCTGTTAGAGCCTGCAAGGAAGACACAGCTAGAAATGCAGAGGAACCAACAGGCAGATGAGGGACACGGGACCTGCCCTGAGGCACTAAACGGCTCAACAGCCTCCTCTGGGAGCAAACTCTGCTCCTGTGCTGTACATGCCAGCAGGGCCATGTTTAGGCTCCTGGTCTATGCTCTGAGGACACCTGTGTCTGTTCCAAGCTGAACAGGGCACAGCCAGGCAGAGGGGAGCGGGTTACTGTCAGCAGCATGGGCATGCCTGCAGCCCTTGCCAGCCCACTGGCATGGCAGTGCTGTCATTCACGGAGGAGTTTGTCTGCAGCAGCTCCAACAGATCTGCCTACACATCCAAAGGCAAAGGCAAGGTCAGGCCCCAGCTGGTAGATCTGCCTGGAGAGGCTTACGAAGCTGCTGCTCTTCAGGGCTGCACCACGTGCCACCCCGATGGCAAAACACGCCGGTTTGCTGGAGGGCTGACACTGCCCTGACAGGGCACGGGCAGGGATGAAGGAACTTCCCTGCTACCAAACTGTGGAACCTGCAAGGCTCTGGCTCCACCTGCACGAGAACAACTCAAGCAGTCCACTGACACAGGTCTTTTCAGTCAGCTCCTGTGTAAGCTTACTGGGACTCTATCCCCCTCCTTTTCCTCCCCATTCCCCAACAAGCAGCGATTGACTGCCAGAAAAACCAGGTACCTGCTGGAAAGCTTGGTTGAGGTGTCCCTGCTGGAGCAGCTGAAGGATGTGAGTCTGCTGGGACTGGAAATCCAAGTGAGTCGAGGGGATGGGCGTCCCGGCTGCCGAGCGCATCGCCTGCACGATGCTGGAGGTGACAGCTGCCTGCTGCTCCTTCATAGCCAGGCTCACTTCTCCTTTAATGACCCTCTGCACCTGGGCCAGGATAGACTCCTGCATGCTGAAAAAACCAAACCAGAACAAAACCCATGGGTGTGTTGGAGTAGGAAGAGCTGAGGGACAACACTGCACAAAGCTGGCACCAGCGAGAAAGCACAGGCTGGTTTGCTTTTTGCAGTGTGGCTCCCAAAGGGTTCATACAAATAACTGAGGCACAGGCATCAGAACTCTGTGGCCAACACCACCGTGTCCCTGGGTGTGCATGGAAGATGCTGGGATTCTGTGCAGGAAAGTGATGTTTCAGGGAACTAAGCCTCTCATTATATATTTTAAATCTTTAATGTTTCTGGCTTACAAGCAAAGTGACCAAGCTGTGGGGTCACCCCCGATCGGGCCCAGGTTCCTACATCAGATCCACCAGATGCAGTTCCTAGTGGGCAGATGACACCTTTAGAGTGAAAACACACACTGTGCCGGTGGCCTGTGCAGAAGAGCAGTTCAGAGTGCAGGCTCTGCTGCTGTGTGTCACACCCTTGTCCCCTGAGGGCTGGATTCTCCCCTCTTACGAAGGGCACAAAGCATCAAACGTGCTGTCCCACAGGCAGAACTGCAGGACCTCCCTGGGAGCAAGCACAGCCCATGCAACAGGACCAGGATTTAGTCGGGTCTGAGGCCTTCCTGGCAACTCTGGCCTGCATGGACGACCCCAGTGTGCTCTGACATATGTTCTAGTGGCCTCAAAGAGGGGTGTTCTGCCCCACAGGTGACCACCAGCCAATCTTAACGCCTGGCAACCTGCCACCAGCCTCGTGGCATGAACGTGCTGGAGGCACCGCCGGGACCACGTCCTGGAACAGGCCCTGATCTCCCAGCTATACAGATTGCTGTTGGAAACCTTATGTGGGCAACAATTCCACCAGCCCACTCGC